CGTAAGCTACTACTAAGGAAAGTAAATATTATAATCGCTATCTTTGACGATCTCTGTAATCTTATTCAACATCCTTGACAGTATATGTCAGGGAAACTATTGAAGGAAGACTCGTTAAATATACAAATTTCCAGCATTTCTGTCAATTTATGTCATTGAACATTTTTGAGTTTCAGAAATAATGTACAAATTTGTTGACGCAGGTTAAAAACCAAGTTAAAACAATTTGCCAATCAGTATACTCTTTCTGAACAGCAACATGCACAGAAGGTAAGCACCTTTGAAGTATAGCACTATTTTTGGTCTGTGAGTTGAAACTCTTTTATTGTTTTTCTTTGCAGTTGAAACAAAAAACACTTGAACTTCAGCTTGCTGATTTGAAACTTCAGCAACAAGAAGAAAAGCTGAAGCAGGAACAATCCCAAATGAAACTGTATGCAGAACAATTGGCACAATTATTGGCTACTGAAAAGAATTTGAGGTTGCAGTTGACAGCTGATGGTGAAAAATTCCAGCAATTTCAGGTTGGCTTGTTTACTTTACATGTTGCCATACTGCACTATTTCAAGAATATCTCAACAAAGTTTTCAAGCATCACAACATATTACAAGGTTCTTCCTGGAAATTATGCATCTGACTCAGAGAAATGCCAACCTTCTTTGAGCTTGGCAGATGATACTGCTAAATAAATTGTTGGTAATGTATACACATTGATTAATAGATAAAGCTGCCTTCTGTTCCAGTACATTATGTCTTAACATATAGTGGATGACTGAGCACTTCCTGTTTCCTTTTGCCCTCATTGGTTAGGGCCGTTAGGCACGATTTTAGTTATGAAAATGTTGCTTTTCTGCGAGAAATTATGATCACACGCGGGAGGATCTGAGTACCTATTTGCTACATGACTAAGCTGGCAATAAGGATTCATCTTTCCTTTTCTTATAATAAATGCACTGTCACTAAAGGCAATGTTTAAAAATGCTCAATTCGGATATTGAGGCATTTTAACTTTTTGACGTGAAGGTGTAAGCCTCTAGATATTTTAGGTCATGAACCTTATGACAAACTAATAAAATGTTTTAAAAGAATAATAAATATATGTTCATAACAAAAATACATCATCTTGTACTTAAAAAAAATATAAATAAAAAATCATCTTGAATATTCATAATAAAGCAAATTGGCAAAATTAAAACTCTAATTTGCAAACAAACATAAAGATCCATAAAATAGCGAATGATAAGCTTTTGAGTAAGGAATTATTGAAATATTAAATTACTACTAGAAGTAGAAACAAACTAGAATTCTCGCATATCATCACTACTAATATTATAATCATCTAAGACATCCAATTTCTACACTAGAAATGGTCTCTAACTTTCCCTTCCCTTTGGTGTAAAGTTAGGAAAAACAGAACCACCCATAAAAATTTTCCGTGCTCTGGAAAAAATAAATCCAAAAAGCATAGTGATAGTACGAAATCCCAAGTGTATGGCCTCGTGAACGTGATAAGTGATGAATAGGATATCGTTCCCAAGAGGACTATTTACTTAATTTAGGATCAATCGATTCTAACTTTAATCGAATAACCAATTTGTTGATTGTAATGAAATAAAATAACAGAACACAATACTCCCGTGAAACTCCCTGTCCCTCCCAAGTTTATTTCATGAAAAACATATATCTTGTTACAATACAACGGAATCCAATTTATAATAATTCCTAATCTAAGAAAAGGAAAAGTTTCCTAATTTAAATAAGGTGAGCAATCAATAACG